CACACTGCATTAAGCAAATCACAAATTGTATTTATTAATTTTTGCATATGCGAATACAAACATGGCCAACTCATGGCATGGCAAATTTTAGTGTATTTTAGTGTGATATGTTGACTTGTATGTACAGTTCCAAATTTTTAATTACATTTTGTTATAAACAATTGTTGCTATATTAATTAATCTTTGATTGGCTGAAAATGAAATTCTTCAAAATTATTTCAATCATTCATATAAAATGACGGCCGCAAATAGCCGAGTCGAGTACTGGTTCTACCAATAACTAAATTTATTGTAAATTAATTTTTCTAATTGCGGTAGCTCCTCGGCAGGGAATATCAACCCCTCAAAGTGTATTTCTGACATGAAATAGAGGCGGAATAGAATAAATTTTCCATTTGGGGTTTTGCGTCTTAATTTTTATTCCAAAAAATGGGGAATTTATTCTAAGCCGCCTCTTTTTCATCTTGGAAATACACTCTGAGGGGTTGATATATGTATTTATATATATTTATATAAAACGAATGATAGCCAGGGGCCCCATGGTTAAATTTATTGCAAACAAAAGTGATAAAAAACTTATTTTTGAACTTAATTCTTCAATAATTACAGGACTGCCTCAGAGTTAACTCATTCCAGTGTCATAAAGGAAAAAATCAATTATCAGGACAAAAGTTTATGACTCTTTAGGAATGAGTTCTTGGTCTCTATGTTCTTGTAAAACAAAGTAGTTCTGAGATAGTTTGCTTGGTAGGGACTTTCAAAATACTACGAAGTGAAACAAAACTCATTGATTCTCATATTAATGTTATACTCTGATGGCTATTAGAAAACCATCAAACAGCTCGCTCAATATCCGACTCCTCAGTTTGGTCATGGCTGGTTGAAAATACATATTTATTTCTGTTTGCACGTATATATCAGCGAACAAAAGCTGCCTTCATATCTGCAATGATATTTATTTTTTTATATCGATTACTCAGCAATTTATGGAAACGCAACGTTAAAAAAATACTGGGCCATTCAATAGCCATAAACAGCCAAACGAGCCCGGATTTTGCCAAATGTCCGGGAGTGTAGGTTAGCTCCGCTATACCGGGGACTAGCGTATGTTCCTTTAATACAAAATAAAATAATAATATGAAATAAAGTAAATTTATTATAATATAAGCAAATTAAATAAGTAAAATTTAAATTACTATAGTAATATAGAGTAAAATAAAATAAATGAATTTAAATGGGATTCTCCTCTCTGAGAATTTTATAATACCACTGTTTATGTGTGTGTGTGTGTGTTAATAATTTGCGTCATGACTTACTTGCGTTCCCGCAATCGCATCGTGCTCTGATTCATGTTGAACTTTTTGCCATACAAACAGCCAGACACTTGCTTACCACATGCGCACGCAATTCTGCTTACATACATATACTCGTACATATGTACTTATGCATTGTACAAGTCGTTGAAGAAATATATTGTGTTTATACTTAGTATTGTGTATTTACTATACTTGCATACAATACAGACGATTGCGCGGATTTCATTGCGGCCGCACTGATTACCGGCATTGTTACTAATGCATACATACACACATGTGTACATACGTGTACATATGCACAAATTTAGCTGGTAGGCAAGTATTTTGATGTATTGCGGTTGATTTCGCTTTTATAAACCATTTTTCACTATTTTCATTTACGATATTACAACAAAACAAATTTGAACGGTTCACTCAATCGTGATAACCTTGAAAGGTATGCAATTGAGCCAATACGAATATACGAGTACATATGTAGGTTTGTGTGCATATTTACGTGGACAATGTAGCCGATGAAATAACAAAAATGTTTAAAGTAAATAAATTGCATATAACAGTTATTAAGAATGCAGGAAACTCGTAAGAATAGCGAAGGAGTTGGCTCATCGGTGAATCCATCATTCGTCGAAATCGAAATACCAGATAATTATTTGTTATTTATTTCATTACAATGGTGGATTTATTTGGCACAGTTGACATTTGGAAGATATGGAATTTAAATCTCTTCTCCGTCTGTGTATTACGTTTAGTAGCATCTCTTCTCTCCTTAACTACTGAGTATTATTAAAAAATAATCAAAAAAATAATCGTTATACGATAACAATATATATATGCATATATATTTCAAACGATTAAACACTTTCCCACAATTTTCAAACTGAAGAAATTGACAAATTTTCATATAAATGCATAAATAAGAAAATCTCTTGCAGTTATATCATAGACAATTTTTTTTCATCACCTATTGCAAGAGTAAGAAGCCCAACTGTTGGAAATAAAAACCGAATTATTTTGGTTTAGAGGCGCACCCGCGCATACGTTTCTCAAATAGACATACTCGTATATATGAACGCGAGCATGCATGGCAAGATCATTCAAGGCGACCGAAAGCAACAAACAAAAGAACTAAATGAAATATTAATTAATCAAGCGAGTGTTATTATATTACGAAAATCGGTTACGCCTCCTTCTCCCGCCGCGTTCAATATTACATTAATACGAATTCCAACTTAAAACACAATTAACCCCGCGTATGGCTGAAATACTGAAGGCACAACAGTACAACAGCACATATTGCATACACACATACATACATACATATGTTTGTGCACACCTTAGTTATTCTTGATCAGCGAAAGTGTTTTGTGGCAGCAGCGCCACGCCAATCGTTGATTTTTAATGCCATGTTAAATTAGCTTCGATAATCACGGTCATAAACCGCACAAAATCAGCGCTGTCTTAAATATGATCAAGAAAAATACAACAGAAATCCAATACGTAGAACCACAATTTTCAACAGAATGGTACATCCACTAAATTTCTGTTTTTTTTTTTTCTCATTTGCAAATTAATTTATCGTTAATATTAAGAATATAGACTAAAAGCGAAACTTAAAATGAATGATTAGGCCATACATACTCGTATACACATACATATATTTGAAGTATTTATTTGTGTTTGTGTGTATGCATCTGTTGTGTTAATGTGAAGAAAGCCAAAGGTGTTGCGTGAATTTGCCAATTTTCAACAGCCACAATATAAAATTGGCAGCAATTATTTAAAGCAAAGCAAAATAAAGAGCTAATAAATAGCAAATCAAGTTTTTATACCCTTCATGCACATGAAATGGGTAAACTAACTTTGGTCTGAAGTATACCAGTAGCAGAAACATGAGATTTAGGGCCATCAAAGCAAACGACTTCATGATTGGATAAGAATGACGAGTTGATTTACCTGTGTCCGTCTGCCCATATGCCCATCAGCCCATATACCAGTGCCACTGCTTATGAGATATTTCAAGCAAACTTGCTACATTGTTGGTACACTTAAAGGATCATTTGTCGGAACCGACCAGATCTTGGCACTATAGCATATATATACGACTCATTTTTAGGAATACAATTAATAACTTCTGTATAACCGATTTGTTTGATATTCTCCATACATAATTAGGCCTTCAGATCCTGGAGATCATCAGTAAATGAAAGTGTAGCCAACGACCCCAATGTCTATATTTCTCGACGTTCTGAAGAGCTGAGACCTCCTTATGCGATTTTATCGCTAATGAACTTACACCTTCATACATATAAAGTCCAGTTCACACATCAACTGAAGCCGGTTAACCACATAAACGTCTGTAGGGTACTTGAACAGCTAGCAGTGGACGGCGATTTTTCGAACAAAATTTTCTTCAGCGACCAGGTACATTTGTCACTCAAGGAATAGGTAATCAGGCAAAACATTCGCATTTTGGGCACAAAGTTTCTAAAGTAATTAAAAAGAGACCATTATATCCAACAAAGAACTCACTGTCTAGTGGGCTTTTTGTTGCGGACGTTGCATTGAACCTCACTTCTTTGAAACCGACAGTGGTGAGACTGTCCCAGTCAATCCAAAGCGTCATGGTCGCATGACATCCGATTTTTCTGGCTTGCAAGATGGTGCCACATTCCACAAACCACGAGAGAATATGGTTTTGTGGCGAGAGCAATCTCCCAGCCGCGTAATCTTTTGACGATGCCAATTGGCCACTGAGATCGTGCGAGGTGCATAACCCTGTATCTCTCAATTATCGAAAGTAAATTAAATAAAGTAAGACACGCTCATTTTCCTTTTTCTTTTTACTTTTCAACGGCTGACTCTCATAGAAATATTAGTCAAGAATGTCAGTTCGAGTGTAGCTCTTCCTTACTTGCTTATTTTATATTCGCTTATGTAGCTGCTGCCGGAATCGTAGTAGAAAATTAAAGGAATCGAAACTTCCACACTCTACCGCAATAGCAACTACAAAGTAGAACCAACACACCCGCCAATAGCACTAATATTTATATATTTGTATATTTATTTATTAAAAGCCGCTTCGTACCGACGCTTCGAAGTCAATTGTAATATTTAAAATCGAGCAACGGCAATAACAAACCCACAAACCCGGCACTGAGGTTTACATATGCCAAACGCCTTCAACAATAAATCGCCCGCCGAAAAACCAAGAAACAAGCCAAACCGATCAAACAAAGTTTCAAAGCGATGTCCCGCGTCGCCCAGAAAACCCCCCACCATCAATTCACCGGCTAACAAACGGCGACTAGTTACCGCTAGTAAAGCAAACTAATCAAGCAATAGTAATAAAAGTATAAATATACATACATATCTACAATAATGGTAACAGCCAAAGCAACAACAATAACCACAATTGCAATAACAACAACCACATCAAACATAAAATAGCCACAATTGCACTGTTACACTGTTTCTTATGCTTTCAATACACCACGAGTTCGAATGCTAGCTGAGACACCGACGCTGACGTCGACGCATAAGCTTTTAACGTACTGTGTTCATAAGCAATAGTAGTGCATACATACATACATACGTAGAGATCTACATAGAGCGCACAGCGTTTGCTCATTCAACTCATTGGTTGGTAAACGGGTGGAGTCAAATATATAAAAGCAGCTTCCTTCTTGGTTCTAGTTATCAGTTGACTACAGCATTTCAAGTCGCACAGACCGAAACAAAGTGGGAAGTCAAGAGCTAACCAACGATAAAAATTTTTTAACTTAAATTTGAACTCAAAAAAATAATATATTAAAAATGGCCTTTTTCAAAGTGAGTGGTTGTTTGGAAAAATAACAAAACTAAAGTTTAAGAGCTTTGAACAATTTGTTTTCGTGATGTGAATAGCGCATGAGGACTGCTCAGACACTAGCAGTCGTAATCCTTGCTCAGCGCTAAAACTATAGAATTTAGAATTGTGGTTTACAGTTATTTCAAATGAGCTTGAATATTTGTATTTCGTTTTTAACTTGTGCTTTGTATTCTGGTTCTAATGAATTCCTCGTTATAGTCTCTCGTCTGCTTGGCTGTGTTGAGCGTTGCCTCAGCTGGCATTTTGCATCACGGTGGACATGGCGCTGGTCTCTATGCTGCTGGACCGTTAGTTGCTGCTCATGGTCCCGCTCATCACGATGAGGGTCTGGACTATTATGTAAGTATGAAGTGTGCACTGTAAAAATAAATTTGGTTCACTCAGAATAAGAGCTAAAATTGGAAGAGTTTTCCAGAAATTTAAATTTTGCAAATTCTTTCTTTGCTAACAATCGTAATTCCGTTTAAAAATAAGAAAAGCAAAGCACATATAGGGCTTTGAAAACTATTGAAATTAGTTTGAATATACAAGCAAAAATTTAAAATTAACGCTCGGATACTACAAAGTTGTTATGAGAGCCAATTAAAAGTTGAATATTAAACCTAATTTAAAAATAAAATTTATTTACATATATTTTACAAATTATTTAAAATTATGTCGACAGCAAAAAAGCCGTTAATTATATCACGGTTATTTTCTTGATTTTTTTATTTCTATATACCGAGAAATTCTTTGCATTCAGTAATAGTTGAAGAAACCTTTAAAAATAGTTTAAAATAGGATATAAATTTGGGCACCTCTAAAGCGAAATAATTGTCCTTTTCATTTTTCTTGAAGGAACAAGTAACTTATAATTAACTTTTATGAGTCCTAATTTAATAGTTTGTACACAAGTATTTATTTTTCTAGTCAGTCAAAGTATGTGAATGGCCAATGAGCTACAAAAATACATCCAATTCGAAAGACTTAAGCAACGAACGTGTTCAGGATCCATTGAAGTAACCGAAAAATACATCCGATTTTCGTGCTTCAGTGCGACATAAAGTTTTTAAGTCAAAGCGCACAAAGTTTAGCTCCCAAATAAATGCATAATTTAAGTAAGCAGTAGCTAGCCCACACCCTTCTCCAATAAGGTATCTGTAAGATTTTTTACTATACACCGCACTGATATCTTTTAGATTTGGCTGAAATAACCAAAATCAAGCGAACATCTGAAACTGATTACAGAAAAACCAACATCACCATTTTTAAATTTTAATAACCCTCCCGCCCCCAATTCTGGCTATACTAAGTTGACAAGCACTCCTCCATTTTCCATTTTCATAATTTCGCCTTCAATTTTGCTGATGATAAAATCAGATCACATAAAAACGCAGTTGCAGCGAGCAGCACAAACCGAAAACCAAAAACCATAGTAAAATGACAAGCGGTTGTAAAATCACCGACAGCACTGAATGCAAATACACTCCGGCAGCACGTAATCACTCGCAAAAGCACGTTTGCGAATCCGAACAACAACAACCAAAGCAGCAACAAAAACAGAAAACTCAACAACTGCAAATCGAAATCAAAAGCAAATAATCGAGAGTTACAGTTTCGTTGTTTATTTTTTCATTGTTTCTGTAGTTGTTGTTTTTGTTGCGATGTACCATTTCGGCTAGCACTTTACTGCTCCAGATTGTATGAAGCAAACAAGCGTTGCATACACTTAGATACATGTGTATATATGTATGTGCGTCCGAGCATGATCATCAGCCAACAGCAACGCGCTGACGCTCTGAACCGCTGACACGCTGACACGACGAAACACGAAATTACAGTAGCCACAATAAAATGACAATCAAATTAGAAGTCAGACGGTAGGCGACAAAGAGTTGCCTCTGCAGATACAAAAACATCAGGCAAGAAAATCCTCAACAAAAACAGAAAGGTGATAAAATTACATTCGCTGTTGTGTTGAGTAACGGCGTGGCGCTTATGACTACTGCATGTGTACTTAACCATATACACGCTCTTACCTGTGTACATACATACCGACGCTTATGCTTTCAAAGTGCAAATTTGGTTTTATTTTATTTCGGTGCATAAAAATGGCATTTAGGGCCTATAACTTTTATAAGTATGTGTATGTTCATGCAAAATCTATGGCGCGTACAGTGAGTTATAAATTGAACACTCACGTAACAAAAAACATTGGTTGTGACAGCTGTTGTTAAATTTCAACAGTTTATCTGTCAATTGGAGCGTTTTGATATTTCTGAGACAAATTTTAATTCCGACCATTAGTTTATAAACGCATTCCGCCATGTGTGGTGTGCGATGCGGAGTAAGAAAAGAGAAAAGTTATGTGCATATTTCATGTTAAAATAGGAACAAGCCTTTCAAATTCTCTAGTATTGGTTGCTAATTTTTCTTTAAACATATTTGAGATTCTCTGAATTTTATCTTATACTAATATTAATATAACTAATATTTAACTAGTTCTTAATAAAGAAATAGAGAGCCACTACCCCCGTAGCGTTTTGAAAAACATTTAAAACAATACGTTTTTATGAAACTTAACCAAACCATTTGAGTTTTATGAAGTTTTTTGAATTAAACTTCAAATTTTTAAAATTCAAAAATTGAAAACTTTTTCACACTTAAAACATTTTGCTTCCAAATCTCCTCAAATTTATAACTAATTACATTTTATTTGTTACATAACTTCATTTATTTCATGCAAATCGGCGTTTGCAACACTTGTATATATGCAGTGCAACATTAACAATGAACAAAATGTTGCAATGCAATTTTGTTCTCAGGAACACACTCGAATTGCCACTTGCGATTTCGATTTAATTACTCATACGCCCCGCAGCCGTCTGAGAGCAAAATTTCCCATGCAAAAGTGCAATGACATAAATAAATAGACACAACACACAGACATACCAGTGTATATGTGTATATGTGTATATGTGTAAATTTGTAGTTACAAGCGCATTAGCATTTGCATTGCTGCTGCTGAGAACACGACTTCATTCACACGCTGCCGACTGACCTTCGCAAGTTCGCAATCGTTACGCGGGTGCAAAGCGCCACCGAAGGGGTAATGTGCCAATCATTGTTATGCTTTTGCATGTATGTGAGTATTAGCTGAAGTAAAGCGCTGAGTCATAAGCACCCGACATAACATTAAGTGAATTTTTTCTCACATTTAGCAAATATAAAGCCAACTCGCAGGTATAATGATTAAGTAGACTCGATGCTGATCAAAAAACAAAAAAAAAATAAAATAAAATAAAAATAAAAAGAAAATAGACCAAACATTGGCAAATCGTAATATTATTTATTATAAGCAAAAATACTTAAAAAATATCTTGTTTCCCTCTTCGCTCCTTTCAGGCCTATCCCAAATACCACTACAACTACGGTGTTGCCGACTCACACACCGGCGATGTCAAGTCCCAGCATGAAGTGCGCGACGGTGATGTAGTGAAGGGATCATACTCGCTCGTCGAACCCGATGGTTCAGTGCGCACTGTCGAGTACACCGCCGATGACCATAACGGTTTCAACGCAGTTGTATCGAAGAGTGCTCCAACCATCCACCACGCCGCTCCAGTTGCCCTTGCGCATGCCGCCCCAGTTCTCGCCCACGCTCCAGCTGTAGCGCACCACCTTGCCGCCGCCCCCGCTGTGCCATTGGCCGCCGTCGCGCATCACGCTCCCGCCGCCTACGGCTACGCTACACACGACGCACATGCTCATGTCGCCCACTATTAAGAAGAGGACAGAAAAACACCCAGCTGCGATCTACAAATAGGAAAAACAAAATGGACCTGATCCCACTCACCCCAAAAAGAAAACAGCGAAGCATTAGAATTTATTTATTAACGAATACCTAATATAAATATTATAATACATACCTACATATGTACATATGAATCAAAGTAATCCCAAGCTACGACGACGACCTATGATTTGAAGGCAATGGCAACGAGTTGGAACGAAAGTAAGGAGATCGGTTTGCAGTAAAGAATGAAGAGAGAGCGCTGTGAAGGAAATACCTAAAAGGCATGGAGCTTCAAGTAGCCATAAGGAAGCTCAAAGTTTTTGTGCACGTGTGTGCAAATAGTAGTTCTTTATACATTCTTTAACACACTATCCATTTCCTTCACTCACTCTCACTTTCTTAATTACTTTTCTGCTCTTCAAATCATTACTCTCCCCCTCTCTATCACTCAAGGTATTTGATAATACTCTCCAATATAAAATACACTGCCATTCATACTCTCCTCTCATTTTTGTAAATATTTACTTAGATCTCTTCATGTCCCAAAATATATATCACTCCTATCTTCATCCTCACTTCGCCTTCTCTTGAGCGGAAATATGAAAGCGTCGGCAAAACTACATATATACTGGTCACTCCCTCACAGTTAGAGTTATGAATACTTCCATCCACTCAGTTAAACCCTCAGTCAGTCACTCACGCACTTACTTGCCTACTCACTCACTAGTTTTACAGTCTCACTAATACTCAAAGAACACTCCTGCATTTGCTATGCGACATTATTTTCTGTATACTCGTGAAAGGAAAAGGATAATAATAATATTGTATAGGAATGTACCTTAAATGCAAATGAAAGAGAAAATGTCCCAGCGGTAGAAGCAGAGAAGAAGGGAAAAAGAAGTGGAAAACTACTTAGAAATGAAGTCCGTTAAAGAATATCAAATTTACATTTACATACAAAGGAAATGCCTGTAAACTATGGAAATCGCATACATACATACTTACTCAAATGTATGTATCGTATTTCGTAATAGCCAACAAATATAAGAAATTGTATATGATAATTTTTTTATATTTGCGTTAAATATTAAGTGAATACATGTGAAAAATGCTATAAATAAAAAATGTAGTGAATTAAAAACAAAATGTGATTTTCTATTTACCATACTAAGCTATAGTTCTAGCGCGTCAGAAGAAAACACTGAGAAGGCTAGTATATTGCAAGAGGCACTACAACCTCTAGGAAGAAAGTACAATGGAAAAGCATCCATGGAACATGAAGAGCGAATTAACGATGCAGCTTCAACTTTTAATTTATTTTCAAGCTACTTCGGGCATATCAGAAATAGTTGTCGAAGGAAAGTGAGAAAAATATTTAAATTAGGGTTTTGCCTTAGCAAATTTATTAGTATTTATAAAAACACAAAAATATTTTTTCCCAAATTTTTTTTGCTGAATTCACAATTTTTTGGAGAAATCCACCACTCATCATTGAGGGAAATATCGCGAATAAAGCAACGACTGATGGTTCAATATTTTTCTACAAAAATTTAAACTGCCCTCGATTATTAAAAAATGTGAAATAGTATCAAGAAGTATGAAGTCACGTAAAATATATCCCTTGAAAATTCCCTATAAGTAAAAATACAAATAAAAAGGAAAAGCTATAACAATATAGATTTATAATTAATGTCAAAGTAAAAAAACGCCCTCAGAAATTTTCCTGAAATCATCTTCAATCATCCAATAACTCTGTTCTTCTTCTGAATAATTTTGTAAAGGAAGATTGTAGAAACCACCAATCACATCCTCTTCTTTTAAATGGGCGAAAAAGTGTACTCGGCTTACATTTTTTTTACGTGTAACCACGCATAACTCTAACCAGAATGGTGAAAATGTCGGCATAATTCATTGATTTGAACGCATAATCCCGCATAATCCGTTAGCACGTAATCCATTTGTGATTTCTTTAATAAGAAGGTCATACTTCGAAGTTAGGTCCAACATAAAATTGAAAAAAGCACACGTAAAATCTTATCGTAAAACTAAATAAAGAAGTGTGATATATGGTGAATGGCAGGTTACGAAAATGTAAAAGAAGGAATATCCAGTGAGCACTGACCCGGAGCAAACTGGCTGTGCTGGCGCTTCAATTTCCATCAAAATTTCGATCAAAGAGGCAAACGGGGTTACATATCTACTGTCAGCAGCACAGACAGAGGTCTCTTTTCATGCGCTCAAATGTAGGTGTATTCTGACTGAACATATAGGAAAGAATTATATAATATATAATTATAAGATATGCATATCCACTTAGTTTATCATTTCGATCATTTCTTCGCATGTTTATAAGCATTTTTCTAGCAATATCGATTTCCCCTCGTCGATATAAAGCCCGCCATGTAAAACAATGCAGAAAAAGTTAATGACAAACCACGAACAAACGAAACTCCAATGAGAAGCTTTTTCACCTGAGCTTAATGTGCATTAAACGAATCTCCACTGGAGTGCAAGTCTTCTCAAGTCTACACCAAGTAACAACACAGCTAAAGTTGTAAAGCTTTTCTTCTTCTTACTCCTGGGCGCTAAAATACTATTACATACACATAGGCGTATAGAAATAAAGTTTGAGTACAAGTTAATAAATTATTCGCTTGCTCTGACCGTAGCTTTATTCGTATGCGGAAAGCTTTAAGGTTTTTGTATTTTCTCTTAAGCATAGATTTAATTAAAGTTTATTTGAATAAAAGAAGCTTTCAACAGGCATTAAAACAAATGACTCTCACATTTTTCGGCCTTGGTATAGGAATACATATATTTATCTTTGGTGCTTTATAATCCTCCGATTTGTGGAGTGCGTCTTGAGAGTGTTTCCAACGATGAACCTACAATTGAAGGACCCACATTATATTCTGAACCCCCTCCAAAAGGATTTTTAATAGATTTTTTATGAGCATCTTTTATTTTATGCCAGAAATACACTCTGAGAGTTTGAAATTCCCTGTCTAAGCGATAACTGCATTTTCTATCATTTCTTGTATTGGTTTATAGGTCAAAACTCTTAAATATATTGACCTTCTCTATCACGGACTTGTCTAAACCCAAACTATTTACAACAGAAGAGTCTTATTTATAGCTACTGTAGAAGATCACATATGTTGTGTGTGGTGAGCCATAGATTCTTATATTTTTAGAATGTAATGATAATTAAGAGCAAGAAAGAGCAAGATCAATATTTAACCAGAAAGGCGATCGTGCGAGTAGCCTTTAACTCGACTTAACCGTGATAATTACGAATCAAAGCAGTGCAAAGTCAAAAACACATCAGATATCATTTAAAGCCTTTAAGAAGTAAATATTTGAGAAAATAACATCACCGCGAATTGTGCAAAAGACAAAAAAAACAGAGGGCAAAAACAACAATGTCACTGGCAATGTGAGTATCATTTTCGATTGCATTTCTGTGGTTGCGATGGCAATGGCGGCGGTTAATTGACATTTAATGGTATTTGTACTTGAAGCTTGGAAAATCAGTGCAATCGGAGTAGGTTAATTTCAGAATTGTTAGATGTGAGAACTTTCAGCTAAAACAACATCTACATACATATGTGTTGATACAAGCGTAAATGGAAATTAAAATGTAGTAATTTTGTGAATTTGCATATTTTTGAGTAGAAAAAACTCAAAAAGCTTCACAGGTGGGCTCAAAAGTGATTTTCTACTTCCGCACGTATGAGCGGATTTGTGAAATGAATGCTTTTATGTGTGTACAAGTGTAAAAAGTAAAGCCATATATAACTTACCTTATGATACCTTTTGCAAATAGATTTCGCGCCAGCTTCCGGCACATTGTAGTAAAATTTATCACTCATAAAAGCAAGTAAATAAACAATAGCTGCTTTCCGGTCCATGAGCTTCACCACAGCTCTCAATACTCACCACAAACAAGCCAATTTAGGTTAACAAATTCGTACAAAATAGTCTATTTGCTCTTACATACTTATGTGTGTATATGTGTGTGAGTATTTGCTGATTTGTTTACTTAAGCAAATAAAGTTTTTTCATCCAGCATGTTCACCCTCAAGTCTTTGCCGAAAATCAGCAGAGCGAATAAATTCAAAGCATAAAAACAAAACAACATGAGAGTGGCGGTGGTAAACTGTAAACCACCAAACTGTTATTTGAATTTTTTTCCATCGGCTATTGTATTTCCTTATTCTTTCTTTTCCTCTGTATTCCCTGGCGTTTTTCTAATTGTTACCTAACAATCCACCCACCACGCACGTATGAGAAGTCTCTCAGGCTTAGCTTTAAAGCTCTAGTGCGTGCCTCCAATTAATTACTTACGTCTTTTAGACTGCTCAACAGTTAAAGGTCAATGGTAAGATTCTAATTTATTCACCCGTCTATCTGTGCTTTGCTCAATTGTTATTTGATTTTTTTTTTTTTTTTTTTATTGAAAGTAAAACCATTTAAACTGTTTTCCGCATGCATTTTCTTTTCACAAGCAACTGCCGGAAGGAAGACAAATATTTAAATGATAAACGTCGTGGAAAAGGCAGTAACTTTGTTGATTGTCTGATATAAATAAATCCTAATTAGGCAATTTTAATTTAACACAAATTCTTTTGCCCCAGAGCAATGTTAAGGTTCGTATCTGGCCGCTTAGGAAACGAGATAAACTTTATGCGTTCGTGTCTGCCGCGTTGTAGACTGTAAATTTTGCTCTAGTAACCTTTGCGAACTGCAATTGTCACAAAGCAACTTAAAATTCTTAGACTGAAATAAAGTTTTTATGCATGTAGGTTTGTATGTTTGTAGTGCAAGCGCAAACTGTAACAAAAGCATTAAGGAATTCCACTCTAAAAATAAAACAACAAATCAATATACGTATCACGAACTTCAAAGTAAAAAACCAGTAGCAATGTCAAGACAGTGCTTTCAATTATGTTTTGTCAATAAGAGTGTGCACGCGCATGTGCAACAGATGCAACATGCCGCTGAACAATTGCATTAAAAAAATTGCGAACAGACCATGAAATAAACAGCAAGCGAGAAGAAGAAGCAGTACACAAAACAAACAACAAATAACCTGACCATTCGCTTGTATGTAGGTGAGCATTAGGGCATCTGCTATTTCCAAAAATATGACCGAGATATCATCGTCCAAGATGGCTCCAAACTTTTTGGTGGAGCAGCTTATCATATAGCACCCTCCAACCAACCTTTCAGTTATGAGAATTAAAATTTTATTCTAAAATGCAATACCATAAATTTGATACGGTCCTGAAAGATATGAATAATATGTCATGGCCAAAGACAACTAATCCTTCTTGTTTATTGTTAAAATGTTGGTACGATATACAAATACCTACTTCGTAAAGATAGACCAGACCTCGTCGAATCTATACTAAGCGCTCGTTAAGTCAGGATCCGCTGGTTCGATCCCTGCTGGAAGTAGTCTTATGAGGAGATGTGGTGATCTCAGAAACACCTGCGTAACAAAAGTATTCAATTTTGGCTCACTAACTATAACTAAAATTCATGTATGTATATATGGCAAAGGAATGTGAACAATATAAAAATTATAAACTATTACACTCATTACAAGTAAGTCATGATGGGTTACGTATACAATTTGCTGCATTAAACTTGTTCAAAATACTTATGAAAATAAGGCTCGCCCTAATATAAAAATGCGCATCTTGGTATTTATACTTATCTAATTCAGATGAGTTCGATGATAGATGTAATTTATAACAACATAGACGTTATTCTCCAGTGAACTAGATTTACGAGTAAATATGTTTTAAATGCATATAAACCGTTTACACTCTTAGCCTTTAGAGATCAATTATAGCATAGAATTGAAATAGTCACAAGAAATATGCCATGCATACTAAAATAAACCATATTTTTAGTGCAGAGCACTTTTTATTACCGACGCATAGCATACAACTGTACATATGTATTTATGTATTAAACAGCAGTGCTGTGCTACACGCATACACACGTTGAAGCCACAACTTTCGCACTGAAATTCAGCATCGCTGAACTGGTTTACTCGCGTCTTCAGTGCGCTGAAGTGGTCACTTACGGTCACTGTAGACATTCTGCTTGCATTTTTCATGACTTTCGATTTTCAA